CATTATTCCAGAACAAGCAGCAGAAAGCACTACAAGAAGAAACAAAAAACAATGTCGTCTCAACAGCAACCACAGCCATCACCCGTAATAGGTCAGAAAATAAGAATTAAGATATTCTATTTACCTTCCCCCAATTTTCTGTTAATGCTCCTGTACAAAGAAATAACTGGCCAAAAGAGTCCTTGTTTGATTTTGGATTTTGGATTCATTTATTATAATCCTGGATTTTTTTATGGCGCTTTCAGGTCGTCTATTGTTTTATTTCATTTTTACTTTGCATTTGGCATTTTTTTTCCAGACACCTTATTAAGATTATTAACTATGCACAATTGTATCTATAGTACATGTATATAACATGATATATGTGTTTGTTGCTTTAAAGAAATGGTTAAGATAATTGAAATGAGGGTTTTTTTTTCTGAATTTCGTAGGCGACCTGAATGGTTCTAATGTAAATCCAAGTTTGTTTGTTGGAGTGGGTTGTTATACTCTTGGCCAATTAGATCAACAACTCATAGGCTCATACACCGTTTCTGAATTGCAAGGTGAGCCATTCATATGGTAAATTATTATCATAATGCTAAACAATTTGTATGTTCAATATTCTGGTTGCTTGTAATTCGATTACTTAGTTTAAATTTCTCACTTTCTTTTCAGATTAGCTCTTCCTTAAGTTCTTAGATTTTTTTTTCTTGTTATTTCATTCAATTTCAAGTTTCCAAGTATGCCATAAGTTTGGTTTTAGGACAATTAGTTCACCTACATGATGTTTATATAGCCTTAATGGCTTTAATATCATATAAGCTTAAGCTTTTTTAATTCATCCAGATAGAACATTATTCAAATGGATACTTCTACGGGAATACACTTGTGTGATCAAAAGGCTGTAGCAATTGGCAGCCACTATCTTCAACTCCTGGGTTGTTGACTCACTCACCTCAACAAGATGTTAATTACTCAAGTTGAGGTGATGGCACATTTTCCCAAATAATTTCACCAATAATGACTCTTAACATATGTTTCTAAAGATTCAATTTCTTTTAAAAAAACTTCTCTCAGCCCCTATCGTCTCTAATGAAGAAGATGAGTTTCAAAAGTTTCAAAAGGAGATGACGGAAGCAGAAGCAGAAACTCTGTCAAACATAAATGACAATGAAAGACTTACAACACCACCTGAGGGAAAGGAATATTTCACTGATGAAGACGGAACTAAGTACAAATGGAATCGAAATCTTAAAGCTTGGGTTTCTCAGGTTGGTGTTTCCAATTTTACATTGAATTACTTGTGGATATTTTGCATGTCATTTTTTCCTTACAAAAGCATTGGAATTTTACCCCTCTGCCAGAAGCACTACTCTTTACAAGTAGTTTGTCAGGCTATTTCCTTCTCATGAAAACTCATTCATTTTCCCACCTTAGTCTTTCCAGTGTTATCCTTTTTTTGTGGTCTTCCCATAAGTTGCATAACAAAGCTCCGCATCTTCTTTTTACTGCAGCTTTTTTCTTCAATTCAAGTTCCTGTTGGTTATTCATGATAGAAATACACAACTCAGATAACTGAGGAATATACTCCAGAAGATATGCCTTTTCAGCTAGAAGAGGAGGCCTTTCCAACAAATTCTGATGATCTATCAGCTAAGGAAGTGGATAATGTTGCCAGTGAAGCAGAATGGCAAAAGAAAGTTGCTCGAGAAAACTGCTGATATTAAATGTTTGACTATTTGTTCTCTTATTTATAATGGTAATTTCTGATTTCAGGTGTTCTAAGATCATACAAAGGCTAATAGCAACATTTCATCGGACCGGGAAATCATAAGTACATATTGTGAGTTTTAAATCCTTCAATTACTAAATTTATCATAACATTTCTATTTTGTGACTGAAACTCATGCTTTTATTTATTTTTCTTTATTATTTGATCAATGGTAGTTAACCTTAATTGTTTTAATTACATGCAAACATCTCCAGTTCTCTTTGCACTCTTTCTCCTTTTCTGCACTCTTCCTCCATCTCTACACATAACAACCAATACTCTCTACCTCAATCTCTCATTTTCCTCCATTTTGAACACAATGAAGCCTGCTCTCTTCCTTAATCTCTCTCTTCAATATTTTATTTGTTTCCATTTTCTCAATACATTTGTTCCTTCTGCCCACCAAGATAACTATTGTAGTGATGAACGTTCTCTCTGTTTGATTTCCTTTGGGGAATTGTCTCGTACACTCCACATTTCATTTGTTTCATATTAGCTAATTAATATTCTTCTTTTTATTGTTTTCTTAATTTTTTTTCCCATGTTTAATTCATGTTCAGGTGACTTAGTAATTTCTGTTTATTGGTGATAATGCTCGATGGGCATCTAGCTTGTTGTTTGCAGAGTATTCCAGTAATTTCTTGATTTTCATGGATAGATATTTGGTTTTCTTTTATGATTCTTTCGTCGTTTTGGCCCCTTTTCTTCATTTTACAGGTATTTCTTCCTTTCTTAATTAGACTGTATTTTTATTTGGTAATATATGTTTATGATGTGTTTACATTTTGAATCACTTATGTCAATTTCTTGATTTTCATCACCTTCCTTCAGTCAATCTAGCTTTGTTATCTTAAAATGCAAAAAAGAACCAGTGAAACTTCGTTCCTACTGTACTTTACGACTTTTAGCTACAAAATCTTTGGCATTTTACTTGCAACATTACCTTTGTCAGTACAGTCCCTCAGCTTTACCAGCTATTTACCAGCTCCTGTCAGATTTGAAAGACATAAAGTAAGTCTCTGCTTCACCTTACCACTACCTCATTCTTACCAGTCATCATTACAAATCTCATTACAGATCTAACTTGTTTATTTGTTTGATTGATTAATAAACAATATGTTGCACTTATACTTGGAAAAAAAAATAAAACCGACACGAACACAGCCTATGCTGCAGACACCTTACCACTGTTCATTTTTATTTGACTTCAAACAGTGTAGTGCACTACCTAATTATTATTTTAAAAAATAAAACACGGTAATACATACCTCATCATCTTCCTGCTTATATATATATCTAGCACTAGCATCTTCTCAAATAAAAAAAAAAAAAACTAAGACAGCATCAGAGACTTCATCTTCTGCCAATTTCTTCAACATCTTTCCAGTTGTGTTAATTTCAGGTTATCTTTCTGTAGCCATTTATTTCAAGTTCCTCTAAATTTATCAAAACACTTAATAACACTTAAAACAATTGTATTTACATTTATTATCTCTGTCTTCCTTTTTATTAGTTGCTATCACACACAAGCAATTGCAAAGGAATACAGTCTCATAACAGATCTCTCTTGGTCAAAGAAATTGGACAGCAAAAGTATTTGTTGCTGAAAAGAGCCCAGCAAGAACAGCTCAACACAGCCCCTCATAATACCAAAACTTCATACTAATGGATGAAAATGTATAACTTAGTTTATATAGACTTCATTTGCTTTCTTGTTATGCCGTTTTAGTGTACAAAGATTTTTTTGCCCATATATTCACATCTTCTTTTCTGGTGTAACCTTTAATACACTTTAGATAATCGACTAACTCACACATCTCTAATATCACCAGGAAACTGCACCAAATCTTAGTGAGATTGTTCGTGCACAAATTGATAAAGACCATGCATTCCATGTGAAGGCAATATAGTTGCTATCAAATACTACTGAATTCAGTACTATCGTACAGAAACAGTCAACCTCAACAGACCATAAGTACGAAATCATCTTCATGCTTGACTCAATTGCAAAAGAACCAGCTATTGAAGACCCAGACAACAGAAAAAGTGCAAGTCCAGTAATAGAAATCGAGAATGCAAATTCAGCATCACTTCTTGCAACCTCATCTCCTCGTGTGAAGAGTTCACTTTTCCATAAATCTGATGACCCAACTCCTGCCAACAAGAAAGTCGACAAACACACCAACAATGAAGACAAGCAGACATCCATCAAAAAAATGCAGTAGGGCATTTTGTTGTTCTTTTGTTTGAAATTATCTTTTGTCCAATGAAGTGGTTAATTACATGAGATGATTTTGCACCGAAGAACCACAACCGGTCACAGTAGTAGTTTTTTCAAGGCTGTCGTAGTTGTGAATTTGTAGCCTTTTTTTTGCTCTTGCACATTGACAAATATGCTATAATATTCTCAGAACCTCATATGTTCATCCATCACTGGATTAAATTTGGAGGTTTCACTTAATGGAAATATTATTGCTGCTGTGTTATTTTCTATATCCATAGCATGTGATCATTGTATTTTGGTTTTTATCAATTGTTGCTTACATATATTACTCTTCCTATAGTATCTAATCAACTATGTTGTGCAGCCATATAATTTACACAGAATCGCCCTTGACACTACTTCATAAATATGCAATACTAATTAATTTCACTTGTATGTATCATAAAACCAAGTACATAGTAACACTTTCTCGATACAGTCTATTCATGCTAACCTAGACTCAAATATAAAACGCTGCACGTGCCCACTAGTTTAAATAGAAGTATGACGCAAAGTGTGAAATAAGTACAAATTTATGGATAGTAGAGACCATCCTAATGTCCAGAAAGCTCAAGATTGACTTTGACCCAGTTCTGAAGAGCAACAGTTTTTAAACAAATAATACAACTTTTTTGGGTGTAAATAAGCTTTTGAGCGGAACCTAAAAAAGAAGTCGAGCCGAAAGCTTTTTTAATTCATCCAGATAGAGCATTATTCAAATGGATACTTCTACGGGAATACACTTGTGTGATCAAAAGGCTGTAGCAATTGGCAGCCACTATCCTCAACTCCTGGGTTGTTGACTCACTCACCTCAACAAGATGTTAATTACTCAAGTTGAGGTGATGGCACATTTTCCCAAATAATTTCACTAATAATGACTCTTAACATATGTTTCTAAAGATTCAATTTCTTTTAAAAAAACTTCTCTCAGCCCCTATCGTCTCTAATGAAGAAGATGAGTTTGAAAAGTTTCAAAAGGAGATGATAGAAGCAGAAGCAGAAACTCTGTCAAACATAAATGACAATGAAAGACTTACAACACCACCTGAGGGAGAGGAATATTTCACTGATGAAGACAGAACTAAGTACAAATGGAATCGAAATCTTAGAGCTTGGGTTTCTCAGGTTGGTGTTTCCAATTTTACATTGAATTACTTTTGGATATTTTGCATGTCATTTTTTCCTTACAAAAGCATTGAAACAAAGGTTACTTCATTTAGGCACATTTTACCCCTCTGCCAGAAGCACTACTCTTTACAAGTAGTTTGTCAGGCTATTTCCTTCTCATGAAAACTCATTCATTTTCCCACCTTAGTCTTTCCAGTGTTATCCTTTTTTTGTGGTATTCCCATAAGTTGCATAACAAAGCTCTACATCTTCTTTTTACTGCAGCTTTTTCTTCAATTCAAGTTCCTGTTGGTTATTCATGATAGAAATACATAACTCAGATAACTGAGGAATATACTCCAGAAGATATGCCTTTTCAGCTAGAAGAGGAGGCCTTTCCAACAAATTCTGATGATCTATCAGCTAAGGAAGTGGATAATGTTGCCAGTGAAGCAGAAGCAAAGCAGAATGGCAAAAGAAAGTTGCCCGAGAAAACTGCTGATATTAAATGTTTGACTATTTGTTCTCTTATTTATAATGGTAATTTCTGATTTCAGGTGTTCTAAGATCATACAAAGGCTAATAGCAACATTTCATCGGACCGGGAAATCATATGTACATATTGTGAGTTTTAAATCCTTCAATTACTAAATTTATTATAACATTTCTATTTTGTGACTGAAACTCATGCTTGTATTTATTTTTCTTTATTTTTTGATCAATAGTAGTTAACCTTAATTGTTTTAATTACATGCAAACATCTCCAGTTCTCTTTGCACTCTTTCTCCTTTTCTGCACTCTTCCCCCATCTCTACACACAATAACCAATACTCTCTACCTCAATCTCTCATTTTCCTCCATTTTGAACACAATGAAACCTGTTCTCTTCCTTAATCTCTCTCTTCATTATTTCATTTGTTTCCATTTTCTCAATACATTTGTTCCTTCTGCCCACCAAGATGACTATTGTAGTGATGAACGTTCTCTCTGTTTGATTTCCTTTGGGGAATTGTCTCGTACACTCCACATTTCATTTGTTTCATATTAGCTAATTAATAATCATCTTTTTATTGTTTTCTTAATTTTTTTCCCATGTTTAATTCATGTTCAGGTGACTTAGTAATTTCTGTTTATTGGTGATAATGCATTATGGGCATCTAGCTTGTTGTTTGCAGAGTATTCCAATAATTTCTTGATTTTCATGGATAGATATTTGGTTTTCTTTTATGATTCTTTCGTCATTTTGGCCCCTTTTCTTCATTTTACTGGTATTTCTTCCTTTCTTAATTAGACTGTTTTTTTATTTGGTAATATATGTTTATGATGTGTTTACATTTTGAATCACTTATGTCAATTTTTTGATTTTCATCACCTTCCTTCAGTCAATCTAGCTTTGTTATCTTAAAATGCAAAAAAGAACCAGTGAAACTTCGTTCCTACTGTACTTTACAACTTTTAGCTACAAAATCTTTGGCATTTTACTTGCAACATTACCTTTGTCAGTACAGTCCCTCAGCTTTACCAGCTCCTGTCAGATGTGAAAGACATAAAGTAAGTCTCTGCTTCACCTTACCACTACCTCATTCTTACCAATCATCATTACAAATCTCATTACTGATCTAACTTGTTTATTTGTTTGATTGATTAATAAACAATATGTTGCACTTATACTTGGAAACAAAAATAAAACCGACACGAACATAGCCTATGCTACAGACACCTTACCACTGTTTATTTTTATTTGACTTCAAACAGTGTAGTGCACTACCTAATTATTATTTTAAAAAATAAAACACGGTAATACATACCTCATCATCTTCCTGCTTATATATATATATATCTAGCACTAGCATCTTCTCAAATAAAAAAAAAAACTAAGACGGCATCAGAGATTTCATCTTCTGCCAGTTTCTTCAACATCTTTCCAGTTGTATTAATTTCAGGTTATCTTTCTGTAGCCATTTATTTCAAGTTCCTCTAAATTTATCAAAACACTTAATAACACTTAAAACAATTGTATTTACATTTATTATCTCTGTCTTCCTTTTTATTAGTTGCTATCACACACAAGCAATTGCAAAGGAATACAGTCACATAACAGATCTCTCTTGGTCAAAGAAATTGGACAGCAAAAGTATTTGTTGCTGAAAAGAGCCCAGCAAGAACAGCTCAACACAGCCTCTCATAATACCAGAACTTCATACTAATGGATGAAAAGGTATAACTTAGTTTATATAGACTTCATTTGCTTTCCTATTATGCTGTTTTAGTGTACAAAGATTTTTTTGCCCATATATTCACATCTTCTTTTCTGGTGTAATCTTTAATACACTTTAGATAATCGACTAACTCACCACAATTCTATTTCTAATTTCAACAGGGAAATAGAATTCATGCCACAATTTGGAACAATAATATTTTAGCTTTTGAAAATGAACTAACCCTTGGAAAAACATACTTGATCTCAAATGCATATGTAAGACATCCAAAGAGTGATTATAAAGTATAAACTATGTACTGGAAATGTACAGTGGACTATTTTTATCACTGAATACTTTACTTTAGTCACTACTCACACATCTCTAATATCGCCAGGAAACTGCACCAAATCTTAGTGAGATTGTTCGTGCACAAATTGATAAAGACCATGCATTCCATGTGAAGGCAATACAGTTGCTATCCAATCCTACTGAATTCAGCACTATCATACAGAAACAGTCAACCTCAACAGACCATAAGTACGAAATCATCTTCATGCTTGACTCAATTGCAAAAGAACCAGCTATTGAAGACCCAGACAACAGAAAAAGTGCAAGTCCAGTAATAGAAATCGAGAATGCAGTTTCAGCATCACTTCTTGCAACCTCATCTCCTCGTGTGAAGAGTTCACTTTTCCATAAATCTGATGACCCAAGTCCTGCCAGCAAGAAAGTCGACAAACACACCAACAATGAAGACAAGCAGGCATCCATCAAAAAAATGCAGTAGGGCATTTTGTTGTTCTTTTGTTTGAAATTATCTTTTGTCCAATGAAGTGGTTAATTATATGAGATAATTTTGCACCGAAGAACCACAACCGGTTACAGTAGTAGTTTTTTCAAGGCTGTCGTAGATGTGAATTTATAGCCTTTTTTTTGCTCTTGCACATTGACAAACATGCTATAATATTCTCAGAACCTCATATGTTCATCCATCACTGGATTAAATTTGGAGGTTTCACTTAATGGAAATATTATTGCTGCTGTGTTATTTTCTATATCCATAGCATGTGATCAATGTATTTTGGTTTTTATCAATTGTTGCTTACATATATTACTCTTCCTATAGTATCTAATCAACTATGTTGTGCAACCATATAATTTACACAGAATCGCCCTTGACACTACTTCATAAATATGCAATACTAATTAATTTCACTTGTATGTATCATAAAACCAAGTACATAGTAACACTTTTTCGATACAGTCTATTCATGCTAATCTAGACTCAAATATAAAACGCTGCACGTGCCCACTAGTTTAAATAGAAGTGCGATGACGCAAAGTGTGAAATAAGTACAAATTTATGGAGAGTAGAGACCATCCTAATGTCCAGAAAGCTCAAGATTGACTTTGACCCAGTTCTGAAGAGCAACTGTTTTTAAACAAATAATACAACTTTTTTGGGTGTAAATAAGCTTTTGAGCAGAACCTAAAAAAGAAGTCGAGCCGATTGGATGTTGGCCAAAATTCATTCTTTGGGGGGCCAAATGGGCACTAACTACTGTCTCAGGTTCTTGAGATCATACTGATAATATAGCAGTTTCCAAATTCAAATTTAGCAAAACTGACGAGCAACTGTTTTTAAACAAATAATACAACTTTTTTGGGTGTAAATAAGCTTTTGAGCAGAACCTAAAAAAGAAGTCGAGCCGATTGGATGTTGGCCAAAATTCATTCTTTGGGGGGCCAAATGGGCACTAACTACTGTCTCAGGTTCTTGAGATCATACTGATAATATAGCAGTTTCCAAATTCAAATTTAGCAAAACTGACAGAAAATGGATTTATAAATAATCTTCCCTTTCTGGTTTGATTACTAAATTTAATTTTTCTTTGACCTCTTTTAAAATAAATTCTATAACCCACTACCAGTGAGGACAAATGTTAGGATTTGGGGTTCCATCTTAAAATATCAATCTTATTAAGTGAAGTAGCTCAATCTCTTATAAATTTGTCTACGTTTTCATCTTTATTCGATATGAGATTCTACCCCTTAACATACTTTCGCAAAATGGTGGCTCGTTTGAGCAGATCAATCTTGAAATTCGTGTGCTCAATTTCATTTTTTTTGAGTCTTAATCGAATTGAATTGCTCGTTGGAATTTAACGGTCTCTGATACCATGTTAAGATTTGAGTTTCCATCTTAAAATGTCAATCTTATTAAGAGGAGTAGTCCAAACTCTTATAAATTTGTCTATGTTTTCATTTTTATTCGACGCGGGATTTTACCCCTTACCAACAAACACTAAAGAAGGTAACAATAAGACCATAAAAATCAGTGTCCTTCACTAAAATACCAGAAGGCTTTTGAGTTCATTATGCATCCTTGAATCATGTAATATTAATTGTACCACCTTAGATCTTGTTCATCTAAGGTTTAATTCTTGTTCAGTTAAGCCAGGATTCCCCTTCTCGCAATCTGTCTATGCCTCATCCTTGTTTTAAACTTTCTGTACAAGTTCTGGTGGACTCCAGTTCATTTGCAACGTGTAATGCAGACTATGCAGTCGCAGTGTCTCAAAGAGATTATCAACATGAAGAAGGAAGTTGTAAGGTAACTACTTTCTCGGAATTTTCATAATTTCCTTGATCGCTATGATTACCTCCATACATATATGATGATAAAGTTACTGTAAATTCATTTCTTTCATTTTTATGCCTAACCATATAAATAGTATAATTTTTGTAATTTACAGATAAAATGTATACATGTCATCTTATTTATCTCACTATCTCTCTCTGTTTTATCTTTAGTTTATAGCCTTTTAACATAGAATCAAAGGTGTGGAAACACATTGTAAGTAAACAATCACACTTTCTATGAAGAAGATACATGTGGTGCCACTGCATGAAGATGATGTCTTATTGAACATCATAGGATGCAGAACTGGCGATAGTCTGCAGAACACGATATTATTTGCTCACATCTAGAATATAAGGGACCTTGTTGCAGTGTGTTGTCACGAAGACAACAAGAACGCCTAAAATATAAGAAGTTCAGTACTAAATCCGGCTATTCTATCTCTGCATATTGACAGTTGTTTGATTGTGAGATTGAAAAATGTGTTTCTACATGGAATGTTAAAATCGGGCATGGAAAGAGAGACACCTATTTTAGTCTTTGTTGTGATTATCCCACATGGTCTTCCATAGAGTATAATTATAGATTTACTAGCACCCTCTAGATTGGGTGTATCTCCTTATTGGTGACTCTTCAATTTATAGTAATTTGACTCAAATTTAATGATATTTACAAGGATTAATTCAACAATTTGATCACTAGGTAGTTATAACGGTTTTTTTTAGTTGATCGTTGATGATCAACTCCCATTGGAATCTAACTATTGGATTGCACCTTTTTGAAAGTAAACTAGGACCAAACATGTGATTTTATCAAATGGTATCATAGTGCATCACTAGCACATCCAGAGCTGCATTGTCCATGTCGTGTATGGGTAAGTGTTCACGAGCAATGAACGCTGCACCTTACCACACAATGCGATAGACGCTTTGTTAGATTTAAAATTTACCAAAATTGTTGGTAGATATATCAAAACATAGCTTAATTCTATATAAATTATATTTTGTAAGATAAATGAACGTGGTGGAATTAAGAAGAAACAAGCGAAAAAAGACTAAAATGGAAGAAAATCAATGTTTAGGGATCAAAGTACAAATATTTGAAAGATGACCTTGAAGAAGAAATGAAGATGTGAAAGAGTCAAAAACCAATTGAGCGAATGGATGGAGTGTTGGAAGAAGAAGAAGCGAGAAAAGAGGTCAAGAAATGAGAAAACGGAGTTCGGGGACTAAAACACAACCTTTGAATTTCAATTTACACTATTTGGTCGCATAGTGTAAAATACCATGCGGTCGCATGGTTAGCTTCAAGGAATTTCAAGGCTGAGTTTCATGGAACTATGTTATAGCATGTGTTTGTACTATGCTATAGCATAGTACATTTTCAGAGAAAAAATTCTGGTTTCCTTATGTAAACAAATCTTTGAAGGTCTTTTAAAGATCTAGGACCGACCAGAAGTGTTTGTCACGCATTACAACACATTCTAAGAGATTTTGGAAACATAGAAGGAGGAAAGAAACACGAATATCGATTCCAAGACTTGTTGCCGCAGAAGGACATGAATGGTTAAAGCAACAGAAACTTGCCAACCATGTGTTCCATGGAGAGAGCTTAAAGGTAATGTATTGTTGTTTTAGTCTAGCGAACAGAAGATTTAATCAAGATATACAACCAATAATTTAATTACATACATTTGTTCAATCTTTATCTACTTAAACTTTTAAATACGATGGTTTAACACAATAGTATATTTTCTGATTGTGAAACAAAAGTTTCATACAGGTAAGCATGATCATCAATGAAGTCTAAGGCTATGCAGCCCTGTGCTCACTATTACAAGAAGAGTAAAACTGGGAAAACATGAATTTTGAGCAAATGTCGAGTTGATTACTCCACCTCTGGCAATTCACAGAAATCATGAAATGTGGGAGGAAGATGATCACCTATTCAAACCAGAGAGGTTTGCTGAAGGGGTGGCTAAGGCAACGAATAATGGTTCCATGGCGTTAGCGTACCCAACAATGGGTCATGGACCAAGAATATGTTTGTGTTCGAACTTTGTAACTAATGTAGCGAAGATTACACTTTCAGTGATTCTTCAATCCCATAAGTTTACTCTCACCAAATTATGTTCACTCGTCTATTCAACTTCTGACAGTTTACCTTCAACATGGAATTCAGGTCATGTTTCACTGATTGTAAAATAAATCATACACATTTGAGTTGATATTGTCAAACCTTGGATTTTTGTCTTATATTGACTCAAGACATGAAGTGCAAATACTTCATATATTACGCTTGAGAATGGTTTGTATGGACTAAACCACAAGGCTTCATTATTGATAATAGAACAAAATGGTTGCAGTTGATGTGGATGTCTGGATTTTTGTCGTAACTCCGTTCAATATCTACGCCGTTGTCATGAAAATATATCTAAATAGCAGTGTGGTAAGAATATCTACATAACTTTAATGATCAGACGAGAAAGTCCAACCTCGTGGCAGAAAAATTGAAGGGATATTTCTGTAAACATATAGATGATGTGACTATCATGATGTCTAACTATATATAAAATATTATCATTTCATCAGTTGCATCAGTTTCTTTTCAACTTATTTCCTATATTATATGGAATAAATTAGTTCTTAGTCCAACTTTGAACCTGTACCAGAGAAAAGTCTGCACTATGGATTTTATCAAAATCACGTGAACCAGTTACCTGACACGTAGTATAGGAATTTCTCATTCAACCAAACGTTTCCATTGAAAAAAGACTACGGATAACATACATAAGATTGAACAACATTAAACAATTTTTACTTGATAAGCCAAGAGGCAAGGAGTTGAAATTTGTATTGGTTTCAGCATTCTGATCACTGTTTCAATAAATTGACATTTCAACTGCTGTATTTTAAATGGTTCCTTTGGGGAATGGATGCTTATACATCACATAAAATTTTGAGATTTCATTACATAATAATAATAATAATAATAATAATAATAATAATATCATAATTAGTGGTGTCAACGAGTTGAGCCGCAAGTTGAAACTTTTGGTCGGGCTCTGCTCGAGTAAAAATAGATCGAACTTTTTTTGGTCCAAGTCGAGTCGAGTAGAGTCGAGCCGAGCTGAGCCGAGCAAAAGCTTGGCCAAAAAATTTAGGCTCGATTCAAGCCGGCTCGATTTTTTTTTTAATTCTTAACAAATCTAAATTTTTTTTTAAGAATTTAAAATTTGTGCAATTTATACGTATTATAAATAATAACTAAATATTAACATATAAAAAAATTACAGCTAAAATTAAAATAAAAAATTTTAAAAAAGAAATGGCAAGCAAGTTTTTTTTTTAGGCTCACGGACTGGGCCGGCTCGAATGACGCCCCAAAATAGGGCTTGGCCTGAGCCTCGGCTTGATCCTACCAAGCAACAAGCCGGCCCGGACTTTTTTCGAGTCGAACCCGATCTCCGAGCTATTTTGTCCTCCCTAATCATAATCAATTAATTGAGTCAATGATATTACTGTAAATTTCACTGAGTGCCGTCAGCAAACTGCACATTGTCAAACCTTCAACAAATTAATAACAGCAGTTCCAATACTAATCATAATCAATTAATTGAGTCAATGATATTACTCTAAATTTCACTGAGTGCCGTCAGCAAACTGCACATTGTCAAACGTTCAACAAATTAATAACAGCGGTTCCAATAAGTTGTTGATTATTCAAATTAATGTAATTGCTTGGAACTTGCATTGACTATTTTTTAGCATAAAAAGGTCTATCTTCCTCCTAAGTTCCTTGAAATAAATGAATACCATTGTGCCTTAGTGAGTGTTTTAAGGTGCCAATTCTAGAATAAGAAAATCCATTAAGATGTTCACCTTTAAAACCATAGAGTTTCTTGTTCTTAGTCCTGTGATTACATATTTCCTGTTAATTTTCGTCAAATTTCTTCATGGAGTATGGTGGACTCCAATGCAGATACAACATAAAATGGGGAAACAAGACATCAGAGGCCCTACTTACAAATTCTTTTTTGGAAATACCGAAGAGATCTCCAAGAAGAAGGCGAATTCCTTGAGTAGCCCAATGGACTTATCACATGACGTATTCCCAAGAATTATGCCTCACATTCATTCATGGATCAAAACTTATGGTATTGCAAATCCTACATTATTCTTCTAAGAACACACTTTCAGTAGAAATCAACAAAGTTTCATTTTATCATATTTTATTTCTCCTGAGGTTGAGTAGATGTATCTCTACTCTGAGGGTGAACCACTACAAATCTTTGTGTGCTTTGCTCGTTTCCCTATAATTATTGCTCTCGAAAGTTGGGATAAGGGCTTATAATATGGATTTTCTTTCATTACTTCTAATTTAAGATTATCATCTTTTGCTGCTGCTACTGTTGTTTCCTTGTTAATTTGTTTACTTTCCGTTTGTATAGGAAATATATTTATTTTCTGGAACGGGTCTAAAGCTGAATTAGTTGTTACACAACTGGAGCTTGTCAAAGAAATATACAACAACAATCATACTTACCCAAGACGACTTGAAGATAAATATTTCAAAAAGCTGACAGGAGAGAGTATTGTAGCAAGTGATGGTGAAAAATGGGCAAAACTACGAAAAGTGGAAAATCAGGCATTCCATGCAGAAAACTTAAAGGTAGCCTCTAGATTTTGTCGATGTCAACTTAACCCGATTGACAGAATTGTTAATTTCTCAAAGTGAATAAGGGAAAGAAAGAAAAACAAAAAATAAATAAATAAATAAATAAGAGAAAAAGAAGAATCTTCTATTTCATAATAGTAAGAAAGAAAATAATTTTATATCCCTTCATAGAAAGATCACACCTTTATATATATTGTTAAGCTTTCTAACTAGGAAGCATAAGAGCCTTCTCATTCCAACTAAACATGAATCAATGCCTACTTTTACATGGAAGGCATGGTGCAGCCAGTGCAAGTTATCACGGGGGCTGTTTGACACCCATTTTTTGGAGTAGAGAATTTTTTGAATAGTAATTGATGGAAGAGTGTGTGGTGGAAAAGTTATGAAAAGTTTTAGATTTGTGTGCAATATTATTTTATTGGAAGAATGTGTGGGTGAAATGAAGAAAGAAAAAAATGAGAATGAGATCAGAATGAATGTCAAACATGGGCTAAATGATCACTGCCAAATCTGATATTTCTTCTCTTTCCTATCTAGAGACTGGACTTGGCTAAAGTTGTAAAAATGTGAACGTAAAAGGGATGGCACAGCCCTGCACGATTGTGCTGGGGGACCAGCATGCTTCTACAGCCGGGCTATGTCACGCCCGGATGTAGATGTTGAACATAAGATTTAAAACATACACATGTGAACTTAGCTAACTAGTCATCTTGTTGAATCATATTTCTGTTGTGTCAGTCGCCCAATTATTTCAAAAGAGTCACTCCACATCCCCCCCCCCCCCCCCCCCCCCCCCCCCCCCCCCCCCCCCCCCNCTCTCTCTCTCTCTCTGAGAAAACGCTTTTCCTTTGCCTTTTTTCCAAAACCTTTTCCATTTTCATCTTCTCAATGCCTTGAACTCCCAAAACTAACAAATGCAAGAAAAGGGATACTAGATTTACTATAGCCCAGTCACTTTTATTTTCCTTGTTTTTTCAAGAATACCAATTAAAAAAATTAAAGATAGAACTGACCTCAGTTTCCTGGCCAGCTGCTTGATTTCCTTGCACACTGGAAAACTGGGTTCGTGTTAGGTTCTGTGGACCATTAGAATTGACATGACTGGAGGAAAGTCGTATGCCAGCTTCTAGTACTTGGCTTTGTTGCAGCAAAAATAAAGGCGTGCACATAATGCAGGACATGTTTCTTTTTAATGTAGTTTTTCAAATTCTTTAACAATTAACTCTGTCAATCATGAAGAAACTTGAATTAATACTCCGTAAATGTAGAATATGACTCCGGAAATGATTGAAAGCGTCAAGACGATGCTGGAAAGGTGGAAAAATTATGAAGGAAGAGAGATAGATGTTTGTGATGAGTTCAGACAGTCAACAGCAGAAGTAATTTCAAGGACTGCATTTGGAAGCAGTTATGAAGTGGGGGAACAAGTTTTCCGGATGTTAACAAAGTTGGCAATCATATTTACCAGAAATGCGTATAAGATAAGGTTTCCCATTATCAGGTAAACTTTGTGATAAATGAAAATTCCACTCTCTCTCCCGGTCATCGAACAATGAGCTTAACAGAGTGGGGAAACGATTCATGTAGCCGATTCCAAATATATTTGTCTAAGCACTTTAATTTCGCAGCTTTCTGATATTTCATGTTTGCAGTGAACTTTTCAAATATGGTGATGAAACAGAATCAGAGAAGATTGAAAAAGAAATTCGAGAAATTATTCTGCAGGTTATTAAGGAAAGGGAGAAAGTAGCAGTCGATGCACAAATCTTTGGAACGGATCTTCTTGGATTACTTTTGAAGGCTAGATATGATTCCTCTGGAGGAAATAATATGTCAGTGGATCAAATTATTGATGAATGCAAGACATTCTATGGTGCTGGACAAGGAACAACAGCAGCTTTGCTTTCATGGACTGTTCTTCTTTTAGCTATCCACTCGGACTGGCAAGAAAAAGCTCGTGACGAGGTGTTAAAAGTAATCGGTCAGCAACAACCAAATTCAGACAACCTACCAAGACTAAGAACGGTATTCTAATTTTGTATTCAAATCAAACAAAAAAGGAAACTAGAAATTTTCCCTGAATTATAAATTCCTTCCATCGATTATTTTCCTGTTTTGATACAGATGAACATGATAATTCACGAGGTTTTAAGACTATATCCTCCAGTTCCATTCAGTGAAAGGAAAACTAAGAAGGAGACCAGATTGGGGAAGCTTATTCTTCCAGCCAATGTAAAACTCTATGTGCCAATCTTAGCACTTCATAGGGATCCTGAAATATGGGGTGAAGATGCAAATCTCTTCAAACCTGAAAGATTCACAAAAGGGATANATCTCTTCAAACCTGAAAGATTCACAAAAGGGATAGTTGGAGCTACCAACAACAATCTAGCAGCATTTTTACCATTTGCCTTGGGACCTCGAACGTGTCTAGGCATGAACTTTGCCATAAACCAAACCAAGATTACACTGTCAATGATTTTGCAACGTTATGCATTCACACTTTCGCCTAAATATATTCACTCTCCGATTCATTCTATGACTCTTCGTCCCGAACATGGTGTTCAGGTGTTGCTGCATGCTCTCTGATGTGGTACTTGATTAAGTTCAATATGCAGAAACAAAACGCTTGTGAAGAGAAATAATTTCCAGTGGGAGAATGGATTGAATAATTTCTGTAAACTTGTTGCATATATAAATAAGTTTCTTTATTGTATCAAATTTCATGTTATCATTAAATGGATGCATGCTTAAGAAAATACTATCCTTCTTCTTTCAACCACAAAAATTGAGAAGAATGAACAATAAAATTAACAAATTATGTGAAATTATTGATTACAAGAGAGTCTAAAACACATCATCCGCTTTTATACATGCTGAGAATGTCTTGTGAACTAAAATCACAAGTTTAGTAGCCTAACTTCTTGTGCTGCAAAGCACTGCATGTGCGTGCGTGCGTGCACAATGAGACTGCATTGTGGAGCACTTAGCACGTGTACTTGTTTGGTCAATTCATTAATTTATTCATTTCGTAAGAAATTTCGTTATGGAATAGTATCCTATGCAATTTTCCTCTTTATTTTAGTGAGCTGACGAATTTCTAATCTTAGGCCAAAAAATTGAAAGAGATATTTCCATATAGAAGAAGATGATGTAATATTAATATATATTAAATTCATTACTTAGTGCATTCTCCAAGTATTCTATTTTAAAATATCAAACTCATTAAGAGAAATTGTTCTTTTACGATTGTTAGTATTTTATCCTTAACCGATGTTTTACTCTTAACAATCAGTGGCTTTCTTATCGTAATTTGTATGTTATAAGAAACAAATGAGTTTCAAGTGTTTGAATATATTTTCAAGAAAAGTCCGACAATATTAAAAAAAACAGCTGAGAATATAAATATAACTACTCCAGATGAGATTATGTTGTGCATTTCTTGTCTATTATGGTTTACCCACATTTAGCCTACCATGTTGGGTTTTGATACCCAATGAATCACATGCAATGATATGTAAACGTTAGATTAAATTATTACCAACAACTAAGTCTAAAGGCTCAACCCGAAAACAACGTGGACAGTTGGAAGTAACTTAAATAATTAATGTTAATTATGGCCCATTTATATTACCTCTTGGATAACTTTGAATCTTGTCACATTTAACCTCTGTCATTGGTTCAACTAAAGCCTAATATAACCTATATATATATATATATATGGTGTTCTTGACCTAGCCGTTTAGTGGGTGATTTGTGAGAGAAAAGAAGAAAGAAACCGTGAGAAAAGAATAGAGAAACCAGCTGGCCCTTTTGAGAGAAAAAACGTATGACTTCTCATTAATTTTTGGTCTCGTTTCTCACCTTACTTCATTTTTTCTTCTTGCCTTTGTGGCTACAAATCATCACCATTATCTTGTCTTTTGTGAGTGATATTGAGGAGCAACGGACGTGAATATTTTGGTTGGGGGTTGGAACCGTGGAGATTGGTTGTTTGGTAGACAAATGTATCGTGAAATTGAGCTCGAAAAACACCGTTTTGACGACTCTTGGAGCAAGCTTCTGTGACAATTGGTATCAAAGCTTCAAGGTGGCAGATTTTGGTAGAAAAACTGACCAAAAATTTTTCAGAAAAGTGATAGAAATGAATCAGAAAAATTGATCGAAAAACTATGAAAAAACGGAACATGTTTTCGTGATTTCCGGCAAATCCAGAGACTTGGTGGTGAAACAGAGACCACTAGTGTGACTGCAGGTGGAGGCACTCCGAGTGGCTAGCGCTTGGAACCACGCGTAGAGAGTATTGGCTGCGCATGAGAAGGAATCCAGCAACAGTTTGTTCCAACATTTTGGTGGTGTTAGTTTTCTATTTCAGATTATACGGCGAAGTTTGGATGATTATGTTCTTCACGTGTTTGGGATTTGATGATGGTTGATTGATTCTTGCGATTGTTGGAGACTTTAGGACGAATAGCGATGATCCTAAAGTGATAAATTCTCGTCTCTCAGTATTTACGAACTCAGATTGGTATGTTCTGGTATATTGGTTTATCCCAAACATCATATGGGGTGACATTATAATTGAGGTTACTGTGTGGGGTAACATTACTTGTGCTAGAAATTTAGGACTTATTTGCTCTATTTGAAGTGTTGATTTTTTTATCGCAAATTGGTTGTTGCTTTTATGCTTTAACCGTTGTTTAGTCACCGTGTGAGACTGCATTGGATGAAAATTTGATTTTTTTGTTGACATACCTTCGTGTTCCATTGATTATTCTATTAGAACTTTTAAACTTGACCCATTTGAACATTCCCTTGATCTAAAATCGATAATCTTACGAAACTTTGAGAATTTAGAACGGTGAATAGCGTTACCTTAAGATTACTTTGTATAACTTATTTGTGCATTTTTGTTGTTCTGTTTTTCAAAATGTCTTCACATTTCAAAGTTGAAATTTTCAATGGGAAATGAAAATTTTAAGTTTGGCAACAAAAGATGAAGGAGGTTTTGTCTCAACAAAAAGTTTCAAAAGTCATAGATGACAAATTTCTTGCAAATTTGACAGAAGCACAAAAGGAGGAATATAATGAACTTACTTACACTTCAATTATTTTATACCAATCTGACACTGTTTTGAGAAAAGTTGGAAAGTTGATTCTACAAAAGTGCTTTGGCAAAAGTTGGAGAACTTATATTTGATTAAGTATATTCCTACTAAGTTGTACTTATTTGAAAGATTTTTCAATTTTAAAATAGATTCTTCAAAGGATCTTGATGATAATTTGGATATTTTCAACAAATTTGTTCAAGATATCGTTAACTGTGATGAAAATATGCCTGATACGTATAAGACCATTATTTTGCTAAATTATATGCATGATTCATATAGGGAGGTTAAATAATGCAATTAAGTATGGTAAAGACACTTTAATACTCGAGATTGTCATAGATTCCCTTTAGAGTAAAGAGATGGAGATTAAGATTGAAAAAGATGATAAGAGGAGCAGTGAATTACATATGATGAGGGCTAGAATGAAGTTTAAGCAATTGAATTTAGGTAGAGCTCAAGACAGTAGTGATTTGAGTAGTGACTCGAGTGATGAGGGTGGTAAGAAGAAGTGAATGAGATGGGAAAGTTCGATGGTAAGTGATGTTATAGTTGTTGTAAATCTGGACACTTTGTGCGGGATTGTTCCAAGAAAAAGGATAAGCAGAAGGGTAAAATGAGAGATTAGTCGAATGTAGTTATAGGGTTGAGTGATGACCCTAGTGTAGTTTATTGAGAGTAAACTCAGTTACTGCATGTGCATTCGTGTGTAATCATTTTTACATGTGTGTGATTGCTTAATTCTGTTGCATGACTATATGTGCATTTTAATGTATTTGATACGTACATTTGCATGAATTTGAGAGCAATTTAATTACTTGGTGTAATTGTTTGCATGCATAGTGGGTTAAGATGCATTAGTAGTGTCTTGTATGTCTATTGGTGAGATAGAGTATAGAAGTCTAGGGGTACATTGGTGGTTTGTACCGAGTATGTGGAGTGTGACATTTGGATTATGAGTGAAGAGGTGATTAAATGTTGAAATCCTTTATTTGTGAGGAGACTCTGATCAGATGGAGTGTGAGAGGTGATGAGTGTGAGAGGTGATTAACTTTGTGTTTTGATTGCTTGTAGATTTATTGGGTTTCAAGGTGGAGATTTGTTGGGATTTGATACCTAATGAATCCCGGGCGATGATGTAAATGTTGAATTAAATTGTTACCAACAACCAAGTCTAAAGGCTCTACCGGAAAACAACGTGGGCCATTGGAAGTAACTTAAATAATTAATTTTGCTCATTGCTCATTTATATTACTTCTTGAATGGCTTTGAATCTTGGCCCATTTAAACTTTTTTTATTGGTTCAATTAAAGCCTAACCTAGCCTATATATGATGTTCTTGCCCTAGCCGTTTAGTGGGTGATTTGTGTGAGAAAAGAAGAAAGAAACCACGAGAAAAGAATAGAGAAACCAGCAGCCCTTTTGAGTGAAAAATATGTGACTTCTCTTTAATTTTTTGTCCCATTTCTTACCATACTTCATTGTTTTTCTTCTTGCCTTTGTAGTTACAAATCATCATCATTATCTTGTTCTTTGTGGGTGATATTGAGGAGCAACCGAGGTGAATATGTTGGTTGTGGGTTGGAGCCGTGAAGATTGGTTGTTTGGTAGAGAAATGTATGTGAAATTGAGCCCGAAAAACACCGTTTTGACGACCCATGGAGTAAGCTTCCGCGACATGTGGCTATACAGTTTCTTCTAGAAAAAAGGTCTTAATTTGAGCCACCTTGATTCTTAATCTAAAGCATTTACATCCATTAACAAAAGATAAAGAACATCACTTTCATTTAATTTATTCTGCATTTTTCCCTACTGTCTAGGTTACCTTGATCATTTATAATGCTGATTTACAACGTCCTTTATTTCATATTTCTAGCTCACTACATGCAATTCTTGTTTGAAGCCATGAGCACACTTTTAGTAATTTTCTTGTGCCTGATTGCACTGATTTTTGTCAGATTTCTCTACAAGGTTGTGTGGATTTCATTTCATGTACAAAGTGTAAGCGATTACAGGGAATGACAGGTCCCTCCTACCAATTTATTTATGGATACACGAAAGAAGGCTTTAGCATTAAGGAACAATCCATGAAACATCCTATGGGGTTATCCCGTGATATATGCCCTAGAGTTCAACCTCACTTATATTCATGGATGAAGCTACATTGTATGTATTTAACTCTCTCTCTCTCCCCTCCCCCTTCCTGTATGTATAAGTGGATATACATGTGCGTGTCTCTATTTCAGTTGCATAATGAAGATAAAATATACACTTCAAGCTAATAATCTTTATGCTGTTGCAGGAAAACATTTAGATCTGAAGACGATATTGAATCAGACAAAATCAAACAGTCACTTAGGAACTGGATCTAGAAATAGTGAAGAAAAGAGAAGAAAACTTAGTGACTCGAGAGGTAGCCAATTTTGGAAGTGATTTTCTTGGATCACTCCTGAAATTTTACCATGATTCTGAAGAAAAATA